TATATATATTTAGAAACCCGTTTGGAGGCGGTTAATATTAGGCGCGTTGGAGGGCAATGCAGCGATAACAACAACAGTCGGAGGCGGCAATACGGGTGCTGTTTTTGGCAGAAGCTCATGTGATTTAAAAAAAAAAAAAGGCTGAGTGACAGAGGCTGCAGTAAAGTGGAGGGGGAGAGGTAGGGTTGTTGGTGGTGGTGGGGGTTCTGTCGAAGAAATCAAGTCAATAGAAACTGAAGTGGAAGCAGGCGTGGTGACGTCACTGCTCCACATTGAGCCAGTAGTAGAGTCGTCGTCGGCGGAGATAGATAGAGGAGCGCCGGAGTAAAGTACACACCGACATGAACTTCTCCCTCTAAAACTTCAGCCTCTAAAAAGTCGGGAGAGGACCAGTTTTTTTCCACCTTTTCTTTCCGACGGAACTTGTTTGTTTTTTGGTTTCATTCACGGGGGAAAAAAAGCAGGAGGAAGACATTTTGGGGTGTTTTTTTGTTCCGTTTCGAACGGTCGACGACGAGCGAAATGTCGTCCGCGGCGGTAGCTGCTTCTTCCAGGAGGCAGTCGTGTTATTTATGCGACCTGCCCCGCATGCCCTGGGCCATGATTTGGGATTTTACCGAGCCMGTCTGCAGGGGATGTGTCAACTACGAAGGAGCGGACCGCATTGAGTTCGTCATCGAGACGGCCCGGCAGCTCAAGCGGGCTCACGGGTTCCAGGAGGGGCGGTCTCCCGGGCCGGGGAAGGCGGCGCAGCAGCTCTCCGGGAAGGACATCCACGCCGCGGCGGGCGACCCGGGCTCCCGGCCGCCGCAGCCGCTGGACCGCTACCCGCTCTCCTCCGACCGCCCGCCCAGACTGGGTCCAGAGTACCAGTCTAGCAGGCAGGCGAACGGCATCCCGGTCCCGAACGGATTTCCTAAACCCGACGAGCCGCCCGAGCTGAACCGCCAGAGCCCGAACCCGCGCAGGAATAGCTCGGTCCCGCAGAACCTGATGCCTATCGTGAACGGGAGCATGCCGCTGCACGTCAACGGGAGACCGGGCCAGATCATGGGGCTCCCCTCCGGCAGTCCCGCCGACCTGGGCAAGAGACCCGCCTCGGTGTCCAGCACGGAGCACGACAGGGAGGCGAAGGAGAAGCACAGACCGGACAGCCTGACGCCGGAGATCCCCGAGAGCCACAAGCAGGACTGGAGCAAGGGCAAGTCTGTGAGGGAGCTGATGGCTCTGCAGACGTTCGACAACAGGTACAAGAAGGACCATGCGGCCATGCAACAAAGGGTGATGGGCTACGAGAGCAGCGCCACGGCTTCCAAGTCAGGTAAAACATCTGCTTTTATTTTTATTTCTCATAAAACACCAGGGGGGGATGTGGGGATTTCACGTTGCATGGATGATCGTTTTGCCTTTTGGCTTTGTTCTGAGAGCAGCAGAGAGAATGTTGCAACTCAACTGTTTTCTTTAACCCTTTCCCTCCAACAGACAGAGGAAAACATCCCCGCATGAAGAGAAAAGCCTCGCCTGAACCGGAGGGCGAGGGCACCGCTGCCAAGATGAACGGGGAGGGACAGCAGTGGCTACCACCGCCCACCGACGGCCTGAAAATGCCTCCAGTGCCCCCGCCGAACTTCGTCCCCCCTCCTTCCACGATATCCCCCCACCCGCGCACCACCCCGCCCGAGGCGGCCCAGAACGGCCAGTCGCCCATGGCCGCGCTCATCATGGCGGCGGACAACGCGGGTGGGAACAGCTCCCCCAAGGACGGCAACCAGGTGCACTCCACCACCCGGCGGAACAGCAGCAGCCCGCTGTCGCCGTCCTCCATGAGCCAGAGGCGGCTGCCGCAGAGGGAGGCGTCCGGCGCGGGCACCCCTCAGGTGCCCGGCATGGACCAGGTGCACCCCCCCAGCATTCCGGACTCCTCGGTGCCGGGCAGCATACCCCTGTGCTGCACGCTGTGCCACGAGCGTTTGGAGGACACGCACTTTGTTCAGTGCCCGTCCGTGCCCTCGCACAAGTTCTGCTTCCCGTGCTCGAGGGAAAGCATAAAGCAGCAAGGCGCCACGGGCGAGGTGTACTGTCCGAGCGGAGAGAAATGCCCCCTGGTTGGCTCGAACGTACCGTGGGCTTTCATGCAGGGGGAGATCGCCACCATCCTTGCAGGGGACGTCAAAGTAAAAAAGGAGAGGGACCCTTGATTTTGTCTGAACACTTTCTTCGGGGAGGGGAGGCCAAAATTAAAAAAAAAATGAGTATAAATATATAAATATCACATACATACCATTCAAAACAAACTAACAGACTTGTACATATTGGACCCAAGGGAAGAGTATACTTCGTAAACATGGTTGTATAATTTTTGATTTTTGAATACATTGTGTTTCTATATTTTTGAAGATAAAGGTATGTACTCATCATAATGAACTACGTTCCCCTTTTGTTGATGTTTAACAAAAAATTCTTGATGTACTTCTAGGTCTGGTGGCAGTTCCTGTTTAACGTAGAATGTGACTAATGCTACTCTACGAGCACTTGGCAAAAACTAAAAATGCTTTTAGCTGTACTTGTATGCACTTGTTTAAAAAAAATTGCCAAATACAATTTCTGATCTTGTATGAACACATTGTGTGAGCTTGCTTTCATTTGAGTTTTAAGAGATGTTTTTTTTTTTTTCTGGTGGTGATGACGTGCAGGGCTTGTTGTGGCGGCTCAGGGGAGCTGATTTACGCTGCACGACACGAGTGGAGCTTAAAGCTGTAGGGTGGGGGAGGCGTCTGCACATTTACACTAACGGGACAAAAACAAAGACCGAGTTTGCTCCATTTTTTTATTTATTTTGATTGCAAAGCAAAGAAAGAGGTGCCGAGTCATGTTCAACCCACTGGAATCTGATGAGTCACTAATAGGAAGGTGCAACATGAACACAAGTTTCTCACACACTTTGCAACAC